GTGATGAAGGACTGGTAGTAGAATTTTCCCACAATGATATGAGTTGAGCTGACGTTTCCATTAAATTTCAGATAACCTTACCTTCTCAAAAGTTGTTCTAATCCAGCGTGGACTGCAGTTTCGACCTCGTATCGGTCTTATCAACACCCTCAGCGGAAGTCAAACAGCCACAGTGCAAAATGAAATCTTGACACGCTAACCACTCGGCTACGTTGCCACGAGTACCCTTGAGTCACAGGGAATAAATGAATTTCAAGGAAGGTCAGGCCCCCTTGCTATATCATATGCTTTTGTTTTTGGTGGGAGTGCCGATGAAGCAAACGTTGATTTGCCATATCAATCGACTACATTACTTATATTCTATGATAGTAGAGCTTCGAGACTACCAGTAAATCAGTGTAATGAGATGTATTCACCCTATTCCGTCCAAAGTGATTAAGGACTGGTAGTAGAATTTTTCCACAATGATATGAGTTGAGCTTACGTTTCAATTGAATTTCACATAACCTTTCTTTCCAAAAAGTCGTTCTTATCCAGGTTGGACTGCAATTTCGACCACGCATCGGTCTTATCAACAGCCTTAGTGGTAGATGAACTGTGACACTGCATGATGGAAGCTTGCCACGCTAACAACTTACCTGCACTGCCACTTGTACCCTTGATTCACAGGGCATAAGTGAATTTCAAGGAAGGTGAGGCCTCTTTGATATATCATATTCTTGTTTTATGGTGTAAGTGCCGATGAAGCAAACGTATGTTTGCTATAGCAATCGACTACATTACTTATATTCCTATGATAGTAGCGTTTCGAGTCTACCAGTAAATCAGTGTAATGAGATGTATTCACCCTTTTTCGTCTAAGGTGAAGAAGTACTGTTAATAGAATTCTCCCACAATGATATATATTGAGCTGAGTTTACATTGAATTTAAGATAACCTTGCTTTCCAAAAAGTTGTTCTCATCCAGGCTGAACTGCAGTTTCTACCTCGCATAGGTTTTATCAACACCCTCAGCGGGAGTCGAACCCTCACAGTGCAGGATGGAATCTTGACACGCTAACCACTAGGGTACATTGCCACAAGTACGCTTTAGTCACAGGGAATAAGTTAATTTCATGGAAGGTGAAGCCTTATTGCTATATCATATTCTTTTTTTTGTGGTACTGCCGATGAAGCAAACATATGGTTGCTATAGCAATCCAGGATGGACTTCCATTTCGACCTCGCATCGGTCTTATCAATACCCTCAGCGTGTGTCGAACCGCGACAAGGCAGGATGGAAGCGTGACACGCTAACCACTCGCCTGCATTGCCAGATTACCAGTGTGTCACAGGGCATAAATGAAGTTCAAGTAAGGTGAGCACTTTTTGATATATCATATTCTTATTTTTTTATGGGATTCCCGAAAAGGCAAACGTATGTTTGCTATAGCAATCGACTACATTACTTATATTCTTATCAGAGTAGGGCATCGAGACTACCAGTAAATCAGTGTAATGAGATGTATTCACGCTATTTCGTCTAAGGTAGTAGAATTTTCCCACAATGATATGAGTTGAGCTGACGTTTTCATTGAATTTCCATGAGCAGCACATACTTCACCTTTAACAATAAAGTTTATGAACAGGTGCAAGGCCTAGCAATGGGATCTTGCTTGGCCCACATTTTAGCTAATAATGAGATGTCAAGAATGGAGGAACACTTCATGGAAGAGGTAAGATTGACGCCAAAACTTTTAGTTAGATATATGGATGACTACTTTGCTATATGGTAGCATAGGAAGGATAAGTTAGATAATTTCTTGTGTTTTATTGAGCATGGCAAGGATAGTTTAGATAATTTCTTGTGTTTTATTAATCAGTTTGATGCCAATATAAAGTTGATAACTTTCTTGTGTTTTATTAACCAGGTTGATTGCAATATAAAGTTGACAATGGAGATGGAGGTCAACAACACTTTGCCCTTTTTTGATGTATTAGTGATCAGAGCAGGTGAGAAGCTAAGCAGGGATGTCTATAGAAAGCCAACACATGTTGGCTTTATACTTAATTTTTTCTCTAATCATAGCTACAAATTAAAAGTTGGGG